AGGTATCTGCTTTTCTTGTGCTTAGCACGGGTGTACTGGGGGCCTGGGGGCATTGCAGTGCTTAAACTTATATGAGTCAAGTGGGTAATGCAAAAATACTCATTGCAGGTTTGCATCACAGTGTTCGCTCTCGTTTTACCCCATTTCCAATGTGCCTGGAGTCCCTGTGGGCAGGGAGCTGGTCTGCTGGGGCAGACAGAGCTGGGGCACGGGCAGGAGGTGCAGAATGAGTTGGCTGAGGCTGGATCCAGAGTAGAACACTACTGCAGGGTTTAGAGCTAGAGCTTGTTTATCATCCATGGTCCAAGAAAGAAATCTTCCTTTTTTTTTTTTTTTTTTTTTTTTTTCCCCTCCCCCTTGCGTTTAGGGTACTTTTAGAACTTTTGCTTTTTTGTGACTTGAAAGCTCAAAACAGATGAATTACTCCAGTATGCTTACTCTTGGAAGCCTCAGCTGCTGCAGAGCGAATGCCAGCCTGCCTGCTGATGGGCACATCTGTTATATTTTATCTGTTTTGTAATCCAAATCTTTCCGAGACCATTTCTGTCCATATACAGTCAATCCAGTTGCGCCATTAGTGTTTGAGTACAGATGGCAAGTGTGCTCATAATAATGTTCCTGACTGTGACTTGGATTCTGTGAGACAGAAGTTGACTCTTACCATTTGTGAGCCATGCAAACACAGAATTATTTTATTCTGTTAGACTTATGCTGGGCTTCAGGCAGATGTAGTCTGAAAAAATAGTTTTACTGTGAAGACTTTTTTCTTTGAAGATGCTGCTAATTCAGCCCGTGATATTCCTGAGGAGCACATCCCACTAGTATTAATCATTATGAATAATGTGTTATTCTGAGAGTAATCCCCAGGGAGATGGCAGAAGCTACCTCTTCGTGCGTCATTTAGATCTTGGTGAGAGTTGTAAGTTGCAAGAGTGATTACAGAAATTGGAGACCTCACAAATAGTAGTGAGAATAAATACTGGGGTAGTATTTAGACTGGAAAAGCTCTCAGATATTTTATACAGACTTTTTTTTTAAAGTGTATTTACATAATACAGCTATCAGAAAAATATGAATATTTACATATAGTTTGACAGAAAAAAGGAGGTAACAGCAGGATGTTACAATCCTACTAGGTTACCCCCGTTAGAGCATAGGAACAGCACCAATGACGAACAGGACATAAGTATCCTATAATTAGTCTTGAAAGTTTGTGAGGGTTTCTGCTGGGAACTACTTTAAAAAAAAATAATACAAGCTGTCTCTTTATCCGATAGTAATGCAGCCAAAAGAGAAATGGCATTTGCTGTATGAAGTATCTACTGAGAGTAATTTGTCATTAGCAACAGACGTTAGTTAACACTGTAAGCACCACTATGATTCTGACTAAATAGCACTTGTTAAGTTTGGTTTAATTACTACAGTGGTAATTATGTATGTTACAAGCTTCAGCATAAAAGTGACTGATTATATGTCTTTTATAGAGGAGATGGAAAGTGAAAACAAAATAGTTAATTATGACATACACTTTTCATAGCTTGCACAGCTGTACGAAGAGAATGAAGACAGCTGCAAGAATAAGCTTTAAAAATAGTTTGTTTAGCTTGCCTGTTCCCTAACTACACACACATGGTAGCCTGTCCTTCTGGAAGGAGGCACCTGGTACCAAAATGTTTGTATCTCACCCAAAAGCACTCACAGCACCTTCCTGGTGGCTGCAGAAGCACCCATATGGTATTAAGTTAAATTAAATGAAGAAATATTGAAAGCCTGTACATATGCATGTAGTAATCCTCCATTCTGATACTGTAAGATACCTATGCTAATATTTCTAATTCTTAGAAATTGTTTTGTTTCTCTATGTTTTTACACTTGTGGATAACAGTGGTAGTTACATAGAAAGAGGAAGGAAGGTGAACTTGTAGGAAAAATCTCTAAAAACACCTTTCTGAAACAAAGACACAGTGAATAAACTTTGGAGTGTTACTGTTTTATGAGCCATAATTTGAAGTTGTTTATGATAGGCAAAGGCTTTTTTGATCTATATTCGCTGTTGACTAGATTTTTATCTTCCTAGAGAGATGAAGGTAGCTTAAATGAATCTGCTAAAAGAATGGAAAGCAACTTGAGGGGTTTTATTTTGGAAAACAGAGTTAATCTGCAAGAAGGTAGGATAGTAGAACTCTCCCTTTTTTTTGCATAAGCTGGTTAAAGAAAAAAGGCCTTTAACCTCTGCTCTTAAATGAGAACATCCATGGGTTTCTGTGCTTTCTGCGTAATACTTAGTTTGTCCATGTAAGTGGAAAACAACAAATGTAATGAGATTTATACTTAAATTTTAAAGAAGTCTTACAAAGTAGAAGTGTTTCAACTTGTAAAAATTATGGGGGGAGGGAAGAAGAAAAAATAATTGGTGAAAATATTTTTTAAATTATTCTTTTTTTTTTTTTCCAAATGAAAGCTGAGACTTTTTTCCAGAAATTACTTTTTCTCCCGCCTTGTTCACTTTAACACTTTTCAAAATTAAAAGGAGGGGCAAATCATAATAAAATAAGAAGAAAGGGTAAAGCATCATCTCTGATATGCAAGAAATTTAGAATCCTGCTTTTGGAAATGGAAAGTATGAGTAATGGGATATGAAAGAGTATAATTTAGGGAGAAAAAAGGCCTTTTATTTGGGATGCATGTACTGAAAAGTTTCATCCCTTCTTAGCACTCCTGTCAGTGACTGACTGCAGTTGATACTGAATTGTTATGTCATGTGAAATGGCATTTTGTTCAAACATGAAGAATCAAAAAGCCTAGAACAATCTGGAATGAAAATTAGAAGTTATTTTTGCCAGTTAAAATTGCTGAATAATCATGAATACAGAATTTTATGAACATTGAGTTATGTTTTCACACTTCACTGTTTTTTCAGAAATACAATCATCAGTAAACCATTAGTCTACAAACTGAACTGGTGCCCATTTTGATAACCTCACTTATATTTTACTGCAGTGTGTAAGGTATGATCCAGTCTACAATGAATTACATTAAGTGGTCAGGTACTTGTTATGCAGTGTTCTAGAAGGGCACTACCCAGTTTTGCTGCTGTGGTGGGGAAAATTGAGAACCCTCAATATCCGTGGAATAGTTTTCCCAGTAGAAAAATCTTTGCAATTGACTGTTGTTGCAAACCCAAACAAACCCAGTAAAATTATGATCTGACAAAGGAAAAAAAGAAATAACTTGAGACAAATTACATCTGTGTTCCTTGCACAGTCCTACTGCATGGATACCCATGGAAATGAGAAACTGTAGGTGGTTATTAGCCTGGCTGTTTCAGCACTGCACTGCTGTCAGCCTTTTTTTGTGCTTTGTGACACACATCATTCTTAATTCATCAGAAGCATTTCTTTTTTCTTATATCCCCAGTAATCAGAGATGTATCAAGAACCTATCAAAAGTTTTCTTTAATTCTCTGTCTGATCTTAGTCACTCTTACAGTAGTAGGGTACTGCAGTATTCCACTTCTGGAAATGCCTTCAGTATTTTCTTCCTGTAATCTTAGACCAATTCTGAGTATTCAGAACTTCTCTGCAGCTTCATCCTGTTCCTTGCATTCATGCTCACGCCTTTATTATTCAGCTGTGCCAGACTGTGCTCAGCTGCTTATTTATGCTAAAATTCTGCAAGACCACTCCACAGTAAAAAAAATGGGAAGTGGTGATACAGAGTTGGGCAGCTAGCTGTCATTGTGTTACAGGGAGTCCCCGCATGATGCCTCACTCAGAATTGCTCCTGGATGCTAAGCTCCTGCTGCAGGCAGGTAGGTGATCCTTCCTGAGCTAAAATTTAGACAGAACTGTGTGCTTTTCCCAGGACACAGTACATCCCCACAGGCATCCTCACAAACATGATTATTTAGAATTATGTATAGGATGTTTCTATGTGTGTGTATATATATGTACATGTGTGTATGTATATGGAGCGAGAGAGAGATATAAAAGTAAAAAGAGTATCTCTCTGGTCAAAGTAATTTACTGGGTTCTGCATCATAAATGGCAGAAAACACTGGTTGCTTCCCCTCATTTCCTTGCAAAGATGCCAGTCTTGGGAACAAGTCTGGTATGATGATAAATGATTAAAATTTGACAGCATTGTAGGTAGTTAAAAAGAGTACCTTTCAAGATGAAATGGCTTAATCAAAAGGGGACATTGTTTCTTTTTCTTCATCATCTTTGATGGCAATAGAATTATGACAGTACCAATTTGTATGTGAGTGTGGAAAAAAAAAAATGGAATGTTTTTTTTACTATCTGGATATAGACTATCTAATATACCAGGTTTATCAGGATCATTTAGGACAGCCAGGTGATCAGGCTCAGTCCGCATGGATTTATGAAAGGCAGGTCCTGCTTGACTAACCTGATCTCCTTCTATGACCAAGTGACCTGCTTAGTGGATGAGGGAAAGCCATGGATGTTGTCCACCTAGACTTTAGTAAAGCCTTTGACACCATTTCCCACAGCATTCTCCTGGAGAAACTGGCTGCTCATGGCTTGGACAAGCATATGCTTCACTGGGTAAAAAAACTGGCTGGATGGCCAGGCCCAGAGACTTGTGGTGAATGGAGTTAAATCCAGTTGACAGCCAGTCACAGGTGGTGTTCCCCAGGACTCAGTGTTGGGGCCAGTTCTGTTTAATATCTTTATCAATGATCAGGAGAGGGGATTGAGTGCAATCTCAGTCAGTTTGCAGATGACACTAAGCTGAGTGGAAGTGTTGATCTGCTTGAGGGTAGGAAGGCTCTACAGAGGGACCTGGACAGGCTGGATTGATGGGCCAAGGCCAACTGTATGAGGTTTAACAAGGCCAAGTGCCAGGTCCTGCACTTGGGTCACAACAACCCCATGTAGCACTACAGGCTTGGGGAAGAGTGGCTGGAAAGCTGTGTGGCAGAGAGGGGATCTGGGGGTACTGGTCGAGAGCTGTCTGAATATGAGCCAGCAGCATGCCCAGGTGGCCAAGAAGGCCAAGATCATCCTGGCTTGTATGAGGAATAGTGTGGCCAGCAGGAGTAAGGAAGTGATCGTGCCCCTGTACTTTGCACTGGTGAGGCTGCACCTTGAATACTGTGTTCAAGTTTGGGGCCCCTCACTACAAGAAGGACATTGCATTGCTGGAGCATGTCCAGAGGAGAGCAACAAAGCTCGTGAGGGGTCTGGAAGACAAGTCTTCTGAGGAGCGGCTGAGGGAACTGGGTTTTTTTAATCTGGAGAAGAGGAGGCTGAGGGGAGACCTTATTGCCCTCTACAACTGCCTGACAGGAGGCTGTAGCGAGGTGGGTGTTGGTCTCTTCTCCCAGGTAGCAACAGGACAAGAGGAAATGGCCTCAAGTTGCACCAGGGGAGGTTTAGATTGGATATGAGGAAAAATTTCTGTACTGATAGAGTGGTCAAGCATTGGAACGGGCTGCCCAGGGAAGGGGTCAAGTCCCCATCCCTGGTGGTATTTAAAAGATGGATAGACGAGGTGCACAGGGACAGGTTTTAGTGGTGGACTTGGCAGTGTTAGATTAACAGTTGGACTTGATAAGCTTAAAGGTCTTTTCCAACCTAGACAATTCTATGATAGTTTGTCATCAGTTTGCCTTCTAATTCAGTATTGAACAAACACAATTTTTCATTAAATACCATGTATACAAACACTGATATTTGATACTTCATATTCAATTTCACAAATCTGGTATTTGCATGAGACTAAAATAAAACCCATCCATGTCCTTTTTTGTTTTCTCTTTTTCCCTTTTCTATAAACCATGCTTAATATGGTGGTATTCTATTCACATGTTAGTGCTTGAGTTTCATTAATTTTTCTTTGTTGGATTCTTTTTCTGCTGTGACCAATCAGTATTTCCACGTAGTTTACCTAAAAGGTGTGTTGTGAATAGGAATAATATGATTCTGTGTTAAAGCAACAGAATGGGAGAAAAATTAGGGCTTTCATTTTCATTTATGAACTAGCACTGCAGATTTAGATAAGACTGATGAATCTTGGAAGAGAACAGATAATCAGTTCTTACGTAGTGCTGTAATGTATGTGTGCAGCAAAATGAAAAAGTAAGACGCAATGAATAATGAATTTTATAGGGAAAAAAGCCACAAAAATGATGCACAAAGTACATTTTGTCATTGAATGAATAACTTGATAACCAACTGGTATCCAAATTTAAGTCGAGCTGAGTTTGGCTGGGGTTCTTTTTGACTTTTGTTAACAAGCATAGCAGCATCGCAGCTGACTTAATTTTTTTTCAGGGAACTGATCTCACAGACATTGACAGTATAAGCATTTTCTGTGTATGAGTAAAAGCACTAAGGCTTAGAATCCCATATTTGCAGCTGTTTTACATAACATCTGGATTTCATCCATGTTACCAGCTAATGACTATGGCTAATTTAAACATTTAGGTGCTAATAGTGGTACAGTACTTAGAATTTAAAGGAGAAAAAAAAAGATACAATTAGGTGCTCTCACTCCCCAATAATAAGAATAAATTTCAATAATAATAATAATAAAAGAAAAATTAATGAATTTCTGGTATTCTGATGTTAAAGTAATAGTAAAATCTAGACTTTAATGGTGAACTGTTTAGTGCACTTAGAAAGCTGTTCAGTGGGTTTTCTTTAGCTCTGGAGGTCATTAAATGTTTTAGGTTAATTTTTTGCTTTGACTTAAGATAAATCCCATTGTACTAAAGGTGTAAGTTTTTGTTATGTTAGGCATCAAAGACTGGTCTTCTAGCCCAGACTGGTTGGTAATATGAGCCTGTCGAAAAGATAATTACATGCTCTGTTGAAAAAGGGGATGGTTCTCATCATCTTTCAGGATTTATCTCCATGAGTAGATAGACATAGAAAGTATTTATCATAAGTTGCTTTTTTTTTCATTTATATTTACACAAAATGCCCTTAAACTTGTTATTTTAACTCCTGCCTTTTCACATGAAGACACAATTATTTTGGCTTGTAACCAGGATTTGAGTAAATATTATTAAAATGAAATTTGTAACACAAATAAGGAAGTGGCTTTTTCTATAATTTTCTTACAGTAACTGTAACAGTTAAAGCTTTAGAAGATGAATTAAACAAGTCCCTGAGCTATTTAATTGGGAATTGCTGATGTTGCTCAATATTTATGTGGCATTTTTTCCCAGTAGCACTAACAGAAAAAAAAGTTGTTCTGTGAAGGGCGTTCTTGAAATAGGAAACCTGAATGGGTATAACTAAATGCCTTTGGTGACTCCGAGAATATTGTCTTAATGAACGACTTTGGGCTGAGCTGTGAGTAGATGTCCGCTTCTGCCGACTTCTCATCCCTAGTGATCCCGTCCTGCGCCGGGTGTTAGAGCTTGAGGGGTATGTGTCAGGGGAACGGCACGTGTGTCTGTGAGTGAGGGAGTGTTTTTGTTATCAGCTTGAATTTTAACAGCAATTGCAAGGAAAGCAAGTGATTCTGCAAATGGATAAAGCAGGTTTACCGTCGTCTGCAGGATGTACCAGAAAATGGAATGAAACCCAATTTTCCGACTGTTGGGGGTTGGAGGGAGTTGTATGTGAAAAATTGCCAAAATAAAGAAAGAAACTGTGCTTCCAGCCCCTTTATTAATCTATACTATTTTTACTTTACAAAGGTTACTTTGTTTCAATTGGGCTTTTGCCTAACGTTTTCCTAGGCCAGTCTCTAGAAGTAGTAAGGATAATAAGCAACACTGGACAAAGTGCAAATGCAGACCCTTGTGGAAACTTCCAGTCCTTGTGGGAAGTCTCCCAAAGGAAATCCTATCGGTACAGCAAAGGTCTGAAATGCTCAAACATACGTTCATTCTCCTGTCTGTTATCTAACAGTTAAGTACCATTCTTTCAATGCATTAGATGGTTAGGATGTGGTTGAGGAAAACTGCACCCAGAATAGCTAATTTGCTCTGTGCTTGAGAGAACGAATACCCGTATAAACAGGGCGTTCTGTTTACTCTACTGCAACAAGCAAACTTAAAGAAATTTCTTTTTACCAGCATGTGAAAAGGAAGATATTGACCAGAATATTAGTGGCTTTCTGATGGTGTGTGCATATATGGTATTGAAAGAGATGGGCGCTACTTTAAAGCCAGAAGTCCCCTAGTGAAACTGGTGCCAGGTTTGAGCCTAATAATGATGATGTGAGAAAGCAGCATCAGCAGCACTGTGCTGGGGCAGACGCACCTCCCTCACCCTGGGGAAGGGCCCCACGGTTGGGCTTCTCAGAGCTGCAGTGAACCCTCGTAGAACGATGGAGCAAATGGGAAATCAAACTTGCGACAGGTGACGAGGACGCTTTCTGTGCTCCTGATTCATGGAATTGCTCAGGCTCCTGGCAGTGACATCTTTACCCATTCTTTTTGTCACTCTTAAAGTTCATTTGACGTATCCTAAAGTCTCTGCTGAACTAAAGCATCATTTTTATGTTTCCGCACCAAGACAGTGGAGTGATTAGACTGGTTAATGCTGGTCTGAGGATACCCTTGGATTGTAATTTGAAAAATCCTGGGGAATGTGCCAGTCTGAATCTGGCCACATTTTGAATTTCTGCCCTTAATTGTTTTTTCTGCTAGTAATGATTCTAATGGTATGGACTCGTTTTAACACGGCTGTTAGCATTGTTGATTTCATGTATGCCTCTGATATTTGATATATTTCACGTCCCTCCCTTCTGAAGTGGGCACAAAGACTTTCATCTTTATTAGTTTTAGGCCTGCAGCTGGTCTTCAAAGGTATCAGAAACAGTTTGTGC